TAATATGCTTTTTGATTCCCTCTGTTTTTTTTGTTTCATCTGTTGCATGTTTCAGCTCTGATTAATACTGTCTTACACTTTTGAACAGTAGTACTGTCTTACACTTCATCCATTCTTCTGAGTTTGATGAGCATCTTTATGCCCATTGACTTTGAACTCTGTTTCAGATAACTTCTGTTTCATTAAGAGCTTTTTTTTTTTAAATTTTTTTTTTTCCAACGTTTTTTTTTTTTAATTTATTTTTGGGACAGAGAGAGACAGAGCATGAACGGGGGAGGGGCAGAGAGAGAGGGAGACACAGAATCGGAAACAGGCTCCAGGCTCTGAGCCATCAGCCCAGAGCCTGACGCGGGGCTCGAACTCACGGACCGCGAGATCGCGACCTGGCTGAAGTCGGAGGCTTAACTGACTGCGCCACCCAGGCGCCCCTGTTTCATTAAGAGCTTTTGTTGAGGTTTTGTTTTGTTCTTTTTTTTTTAAGTTTTTTTTTTTTTTTTTTTTTTTTTTTTTACATTTCTTTATTTTTGAGAGACAGAGTGAGACAGCGCACGAGTCGGGGAGGGGTAGAGAGAGGAGACACTGTATCTGAAGCAGCCTCCAGGCTCTGAGCAAATTGTCAGCACAGAGCCTGACACGGGACTTGAACCCATGAACTGTGAGATCATGGCCTGAGCTGAAGTTGGGCACTCAACCGACTGAGCCACCCAGGCGCCTCTGTTTTGTTCTTTTATTTGGAATATACTTCTGTGTTTCCTCATTTTGTCTGACTCTGTTTCTATGTGTTGAGCAAATTGGCTACCTCTCCTGGTCTTAAAGGAGTGGTTTTATATAGGAGATGTCCTGTGGGGCCCAGAAGTGCACTCCCTCCTCATCACCAGAGCCACATGCTCAAGAGGCATTTTCTGTGTGAGCTACGTATACCTCCCTATTCTAGGACTCGGCCAGTGGGTGAGGCTTTCAGTGGGGTGACAGCAGCATTAGCATGTTAGATTGAGAGTTCCAAGATGGCACCTGCTAGCATCAGCACTAGCAAAGTAGAATGTGATCTTCAAAAGGGCCCCTGACGGTGTTTTCCGTCTCTAGAGTGTGTCTTAGCAATTGCCTGCCTGTCTGAGCAGCATGAGCCCTCTAAGAGCAGGTTCTCTGTTCCCTGTAGCTCTGTGGTTTTCCTGGATGTAATCTCTGTTTTGAAAGTCTGGCTTTGGGGCTCTCTTTTCTCTTGTGCAGGATCTAAAGGTTGGAGTACCTGTGTGGACCTCAAACCCTTCACTCCTCAGGAAGAAGTTCCATGTTTTTGAAATTCTTTCCTGTCTGTGGATTGCTGTGTTGTGGTGTGGGTTTTTTCCCCCCTCTGGGGGGGGGAGGAGGTCTCTGCCACTTTGATTCCTCTTAGTCCCTCCTTGTGGAGGCTCTGTTCATTCAGTTTTCAGGACTTTTTTTTGAGGGAATTATTCTATATGTAGTTTCATATTTGTTTTGACCCGTGGTGGTAGTGAGTTCAGGATCCTCCCGTGCCACCATCTGAACTGTCCTCTGAGAAACATTTGAGCATAGGAATCATAGAATAGCTATAAGGCAGAGTTGTAGAGCTGTCATTCATGTATTTTCTTTCAAAAAACATTTATTCAGCACCTCATATGTGTCAATCACTGTATGGGAGGTACCAGTTTTATAAATTTAATAGTTTGTTTATATATTGGGTCTTCAGCTTAACCTGATAGAATTTTAATGATGAAAAGGAATTTAAGAATATTAGGAAAGCTATGAAATGTAGTGCACTGAAAGGATCTTAATATACTAATTTAGGATACTTTCAGTATGGACCTTGAGTTTACACAGAAATCCAAAACAAGTTGTTTTTTTTTTTAATTTTTTTTTAATGTTTATTTTTGAGAGAGAGAGCGAGCATGAGCAGGGGAGGGGCAGAGGGAGACTGAGACACAGAATTTGAAGCAGGCTCCTGGCTCTGAGCTGTTAGCACAGATTATGACCTCAGCTGGCAGGCTCAAAAACAACTTTTGACAGGTTGTTTTCTTTGAACATTTGGAGTGGCATGGACTCATGGACACGTTGACTGTTTACTAGCCTTCATCTTGGGGACTTTGAGAAAATATGCCTCTAGGAAGTAACTTGATATTTATCTTCTCATCTTGGTTTTTTTTCATCATGTTTTAGGTAAAGGAGGTTGTGTTTTTGTTCTTTATTCCTTAGTTTGGATGATTTTTAAAAATTCTTTTTCTTAGGGTCAGCTTGTCTTTTCATTTGATTCTTTTCAATTGATTATATGAATACATGCATTGGACACCAGGTTTTCTTGTTAAATTTAACACATTATTATTATTTCCCCCCTATTTCATGTGTCTGAGATTGTCGAATGACTCATAAAATATTGTTCTACAGCATTTAAACTCTGCAGGATATTTTATCATCTAGGTATACTCTGTTGGTATTGAGGTTTTCTTTAATTTTATCTATTTGACCCTTAATGAAATCCTTGGAGCTGAATATTTGTTCATGTCCATGATGCATTTCTAAAATGGGATTTTTTGATGAAATAATATGTATAAGTAGATTTTAATATTTTTGATGCATACTGCAGAGTTGCCCTTCAGAAGGATTATATATATTAGTAAGGATAATCTGATTTCTTTTCTCTGTTATTTTGTTAGTATTGAGATACGACTGTGAGTATAATTTTATAGTTTGCTTTTTTCACTGAACATATTGTGATCATTGTCCTGTATCTCTAAAAGTTTTAATACTCTTTTTAACTTAATTTTTAATTTATTTCTTTTTTTTGAGATATGATTCACCATCGTAAAGTGTACGTACGGTTCAGTGGCTTTTAGTTTATTTACTATATTTTTGTAACCATTACTACTGTCTAGTTCCAGAACATTTCCATCACCCTAAAAAGAAACATGTACCCATTCTCTGGCAGCTGCCACTATGATCTGCTTTCTGTCTCTTTGGATTTACCTATTCTGACAGTGCTTATAAGTGGAATCATACACTATGTGGCATTTTATGTCTGGCTCCTTAGCATAATGCTTTCAAGATTCATCCGTTGTTTTTTAATATAACAGTACTTCCTTTCAGTATCCTTTTTATGGCTGCATTATATTTTATCATATATTGATGCCATAGTTTACTTTTTTATTTTATACATTTTTTCCTGTGTTAATTGCTAGGAATATTAATATATGTAATTTTTATTTGTAAATTTCGAAGTATATTCCTATGGTGGATTCCTAAGTGGAAGTTTACTGTGTCAAAAGTTATGACTCTTTAAAAAAAAAAAAAATTTTTTTTAAGTTTATTTTTTTGAGAGAGTGAGAGTGCAGAGCCTGACACAGGGATCAAACCCACAAACTGTGAGGTCATGACCTGAGCTGAGATCAAGAGTTGGATGCTTAACCGAGTGTGCTACCCAGGTGTCCCAAAGCTTATGACTCTTGATGCTCTTGATTCACATGGCCAAATTGTTTTCTGGAAGGTTTTTATGAATTTAAACTCCGGCCAATAGAGTAAATGAAATTTTGTCCTCACTTTAGTTTCTTTAATATTTAGAATATTAACAGTTTGATTGCTAACTTGATGGTTAAAAAAGACTAAATTGTTTTAAGTTGTATATTTTCATTATTAGTGAAGTTCAACTTTTTTCCATAAGCTTATTAGTCATTTGAATTTCCTCTTGTTTCGAAATCTCTTTTTGTCTTGTCCTTTTTCCCCTTTGGGTCTTCCTGTTTTCCTTTTGATTGAGCTTTTTATATATTAAGGAAGTTAGCTACTTGATTTATTTGTGGAATATATTTACACCACTGTTTTATGTTTTTGATGTATAGAAATTTTAATCTTTATAATATAGGTAAGTTTTTCAATTAAATTAAAACTTGAAACACTGAACTCTTTAGTGTATTTGGAATTCTCTGTTATATGGTATACCTTATTATGTTCCGTTGTTCAACAGTTCATTCCAACACCATTTAAAAATTAATCCATTCCTTTCTCACTGATTTTTTTTTTTTTTACCCCCTTCCCCCATTTCTCACTGATCTTTGATGCCTCCTCTGTCATTTCTTGCATTCATATATTTATGAGGTTCTGAATCTCATTTGCCTATTTTGTTTCATCGGTCTATTTTTACCCCAAGTCCCATTTAGGCTGAAGTAGGATAGTGTATTGTTATCTCTACCTGTGCCTGGGGTAAGGCAGGGTCAGCTGGACCCAGGCACAGCTGGGACTCTGTGTATTTTGGGGGAACTGTTTAAGCTTTCCCGGTCTCATTTCTTTTTCCATCTGCAAAAGGGGATAATAAAAGCAACCATTTTTTAAAAGGTATTTTAAGAATTAGAAATGATTATTAAGTGGACGGTATCCTGGCATATTTAATAACTATTCAAGGAATGTTAGCTGTTAAGACTGATGATGATATATCACATATTAATATTTAGCCCTCTTTCAAAATTCTTTTAGTTGTATTTACATATATAGCTTCTGAATTAACTTTAGATTCCTTTTTTCTCCCCATCCTATCACAAACCATTCCAGTAGGATTACGATACATTTATAAGCTAATGTGGTGGGAAAATGACATTACTCACTGTCCCTATTCAGAAACTTGGCATTTCTCTCTATTCATTCAAGTTTTTCTTTTTTTTTTTTTTATAAGCTTTACTTAATGTCTCCTTCTTAAAGGTCCTATAAGTGATTTTTGGTTAAAGTTATTTTTAGCTATTTTGTTATTAGCTATGGATGGAATCTTTTTTTGTGTGTTACTTTTTTAATGACTTGTTATTGGTAGTTATGTGTTCTTTAGGGATCTGTTGGTCTGTTTTTTTCATTCTGCATACAAATGATGAGCTATTTAATATTGTGCTCTTTTCCATTTCTTTGCTTGTGCATGATCTCTTTTTTTTTTCTTTCTGAAGACTATGATTTATTGTTCTTTCACTGAAATGTTCTTTGGTTCCTTTTCCCCCCTAACTTTGGTTATTTAGGTAAAAACAGATGACATAGCAAGAATTTACCAGCCGAAGCGTTATGCTCTATCACCGAAGACAACGATTACATTGGCACATCTACTTGCTGCTCGTGAAGATCTATCCAAGATCATTAGAACAAGTAGCGGCTCCAGCCGAGAGAAGACGGCATGTGCCATTAATAAGGTTGGGTTTTCTTTTCAGTGCAATGGAGAATGAATTTATAATATCCTCATTTGATGTTTTTACAGATTTTAATCCATTTTTTTGTGGTAAACTCCTAGAAAAGAGAGTGGTGAAAGCATTTCAGTTCATCTAGGCTTAGTTATGTTTTGTGTGTGCATGTTCATTTGAATTTCTGTATTCATAAATTAAGCCACAGTTTTATTTGAATTGGAAGAACGAAGAATTGTTTTTGTCAATAACTTTAGCAAGAATTAATTTGTCTTCTAAGAATGTCATTTTTTTTTTTTTGTCAGTAAAAATGTGTAGTATTTAAGTACTAACAGATTCCTTATATACTTGGGAAGGAAGGAAGAGTACTTGCTTGAGAGTCATACGGATCAGGATTCACATCCTAGCTGTATCATTTGCAGAGAGAAATCACCCAGGGCAAGTTACTGAGTGTTTTGGAGGTTCCGTTTTCTGATTCAGAGTATAGATCCATTTCTCCAACACTGCTTTTAAACAAGCTCAAAGAGACCGAATCTTTTACTTTACAATAGCAGCAATAGTGATAAACTAATCTAGATTTGTCAGTTTGAGTGGCATGTATGGCAGAGTTTATTACAAAAGAGCAAAAAACCAGAAGGGATTTGGGCAATTTTAAAACATCGCTCCTCACTCGGTGTAGTGAAAAAAGTATTCTCTATACAGGATGTCTTGCTAGAGGTATGGTTTGTATGTAAAGTTAGTTATTGCTAAGTTAGTCACCAGTGTTTGTTCCTCTCTCTTCCATTTTAGATCAGTCTCCTCTAGCTTCTGAAAGTATTGTCTTTAAATATGTTACTTAGTATCTTCTATCAGGGGATGATCTAGTCTTGCCAGATTACGAGTTCTACTTCTTAAGTGACATTGTCCATCTCTTTTCCAAGTTTGTAGTCTAATTATTTGAAGGCAGTCTTACCAGTTCTTGCAACACTGTCCCCATATAGCCATCCACGTAGCATGTTTGATGGTGAGACCAATGAGAATAACAACCAAGAAAAGCTCTTTTTCATTGATGATTGGGACATTATTGGTGCCTTTAAAAGAGTGTTTGCATTCTTCAAACTTTGGCCCATAGTAAGGGTGTTGTACTTTTTGTTTTTTGTTTATGACATAAATTGCTAAAACATGGTTTTGATTAGAGGATCAATGGAAGTAGAACCCAGTTGATTTATAGGTCATTTTGGTTGAGGCATTTACTGTTTTACCTTCTTTCCTGAAAGAAACTAGCATGAAGCTAGTTTCCTAGCTTCCTTCCTCACCACTGTCTGTTTTTCTTTATGGGCATATCAAGTAGCTCCTTTATACAGAAGGCTGGGGACTTAAACCAAACTCTTCCCTGACTTATCCTTCAAAGTATTATCAAGCATGGTTAAGAAAGCCTAGTTAAGTCTTTATTTTCTGTATAATAATATAGTAACTAGTATCATCATTGAAAGTTTGTGAGGTTAAGTTTCAAAGAAGGGAATAGTTCATTGAGAATCCTTTTATCTCTGGAATAATACCTTGGATAATAGTCATTATATTCCTTTCTGACGTCTCATTAAACCCACATGTCACCATATATACTTCATACTTTGTTAAAATAAAATGTGCTTAGAATATAGTCTTTTATTGGATAACCCATGACCAAATGAATGGCAGTGGAAAGTCCAGAGTTGTTGTATAGATAGGAAGTTAATTAATATAGGGTGAATAGTTTACGTATATTGAAAGTGTTCTGCTTAAAATATTTTAGTGTGGGTACTACATTTGTTACAGAATTTGGTAAACAGGGGTGCCTGGGTAGCTCAGTCAGTTAAGTGTCTGACTCCTGATTTCAGCTCAGGTTATGATCTCATGCTTGATTGAGCCCCACATCAGGCTCCACACTGGGCAGGGAGTCTGCTTAAGATTCTCTCTCCCTCTCCCTCTGCCCCTCCCCTGCTCATGTGTGCACATGCATGGGCTCACTCTCAAAAAA